GCTGATCAAGGTNAAAANCAGAANAANTCNATAAGTNAGGGNCANTNAAGTGGANGAGGGAGAGGTCGAGGAAACCGTGGAGGTCGCACAGGAGCAACCTCAGACTCTGATTTCGTATGTTACTCATGTGGTGAGACAGGTCACCGAGTCCGAGAGTGTCCCAAGACAGGACAAAAACAACCTTATGCTCTTGCCAATATGGTATGCTTTCATTGTAGAGAAAAGGATCATTATGCGAATACTTGTCCAACCACTCACCCAATGGTAGCAGCAATGACTGTTGCTCAACCCCCATCGACCGAGGAAGAAAAAGAACCCCCGATAAAGAGGCCATGCATAACAGGGAGAGTATATCAGTTAGGTCTGCCACAGGCTAGGTTATTAGGATCTTCGAAAGATCCTACCACAGATAAGTATGGGTTCTAACTCTTTTGTGTGATTTATTGCTTGTGTGATTGCATATGCATGTATTTATGAGTTATAGTGTGTGGTGGAATTACAGAGTATAAGGTAGATGAGATTGATTGAGTCTAGCTAGAAGTTGAGACCCAATCCTGGAAACCGATAATTATTGATAGATGTCTTAGCTACTTAAGAAAAACTTTCATAAACCAACTTTTCCAAATGCACGATGCGGAATAAGTAGAGGAATTCATTCCGAATTCTTTTTAAGGAGGGTAGAATGTAATGACCCTGCCTAGAGATCAAAACAGTCAGGGGAAATGATCAAGCCAAGACCTAGTTGACGGAAGAAAAAAACCGTCAAGCATGACGGGATTTTAAGTACGAGGTAGCCCGAAGCACGAGGTAGCGTGAAGCACGAGGTGGCGTGATTTTTCAAACTTGATATTTTTACAAAAATATAAAAGTTTGCGGAAGCACGATACAGTTGCTCGGATTGACGTGCTTGGGATCAACGAAGCACGACAAATCCCGTAAGCACGAGGTGTCGCGATCTTGTGTGACGAGTCATTGGAAGCACTACAAATCCACAAGCTCGACAAATCCGCAAGCACGACAAGTCAGAATCACGACAAAACCGTAATCATGTGGTGTCGCGATCTTGTGTGACGAGTCAACGGAAGCACGACAAATCCGCAAGCACGTCAAATCCACAAGCATGACGAACCCGTAAGCACGAGGTGTCGCAACCGTACCCGACGAGTCATCAACAAGCCCGACAAATCCCAGAAGCTGCTGGACGAAAATTTCCCTATAAATAGGACCTAAGTAGCTCCCATTTTATGCACAAAAAACGTTCCAAACCTCCAAAATCACTCTAGAAAATCTGAATATATGTCCGTGTCCGTGATCTAGTCCAGGCCGTGTTTGTGAACCACCATTTCGAGAAGCTTTTTGGTCAAAAGTCTAGCCTAAGTTCTGTCCATTTTCGTGAAGAAAGTAGGCCGTGGAACCAAAGAAACAGATCCGGTCTAGAGCCTAAGTTTCGAATCTAAACCCTAACCGTTTAGAATGAGCTGAATCTTGGTGATGTTTGTCGTGTGCTAGATGAGTAGGGCACACGTTGCTTGTTTATTCTTATGCTTTATAGTCGTAGAGGTTCTTGCTAGAATTTTAGGAATTTGGNTAAGTATCTTTGATTNTTTGTGCATGATGTTTGATTGNGTGCTGCATGAGTTATGNNATGATTGTGTTTGTACTTGCCGCTAACCTTTGTGGATGTAGGATTTCAAGAGGAAGCTGATTCGCGTGTAATCTGTGTAGATACATGCGGGTCAAAGGTAAATTTTATGTTGTGTGTGAGGTTAGGCGTTACAAGTGATCAAGAGGATCATGTAACGTTCTAACAATTGTAGAGAGCGCTTGACACTTTCAGATATCGCTAGTCACGGAGGAACATGATAGCAGCCTAGGGCCATGACTACCGATTGTAATACCCGGAGGAACGAGATTACAGCCTAGGACCGTGGTATTACAGAGTCGGATCACTGGTCTTTTAGCCTTAGTGGTTAGGACCGTGTGAGGTAAAAGGGACAATGGAAGGAAGTTGTCAATTTGCGGTTTAAGATTTGGTTACACGAGAAAGGACTTCACTGTGGAAGGTCCTTGGTTATATTATGTTTGATTTCTCTATTCCGCATGTGCATTCTCTGATTGTTTGTNTGNTTGCT